TCGCCATGCTTAGAAATGGACTCAATAGCAATGGATTTGGTTAGTGCAAAAAGGAGTCCTGGTGGTACGGTGGGTTATATACTGGGTTGCTAATGGAAAAGCTGGAAGTTGAAACCCACCAATCATTCTTTGGGAGAAAGACTGAGAGGTTCTATTCCAGAAAGATTAACTGGTTCTGATTCCCTGTTGGGCAGCTCTGGATCCCTCTTGGGTGGCTCTGAATCCCTATTGGGCGGCTCTAGTCCATCCTACAGGGTTGCTGCAAATTGGAACTGACTAAACAGCAACGGGGTTGGCTTTGCCGAGGCCACAAATCTTCTCAATGATTTAAAAGATGCAGGTGCAGCAAATGAAGGTGATTGTGATGAAGAATGTGTTGTGAGTTTCAAAGAGCAAAGGCAAATTTACATAACACTGAAGGACAAGTATGAATTCTAAGTTAAATGTTCTTACCCAGGGAATGCTTGTACCAGCTCCCTTCCTCTGACTGGGCAATGAGCTTCATTAGGTGGTAAAAAGGCAGTAAAGATGGACCACACAGGAGCCACGTCTTCAGTGGCAAGAATAGAATCAGCTCATCACTTCTAAGTCGACCAGGCACTGCTCTGTGCAAAGCCTTAGCATCTCCAAGACTCACTGCCCCTCTGGAATATAGTCAAGAGCAAAACCCCTGGGTCTTTCACAGAAATTCTACCCAGTGGGGATTGCTCCTGAGGCATATCAGAATTCTGAAAGCTGCTCTGGCCTGCAGAGCCCTCTACCAGGCTCTGGGAGTCAGGACTCAGGCAGGGAGGAGGGCCAGTGAGGCATTCTCGGTGACCTTTGGTTCATTGGGAAGGGCTCAAAACCAGTAAAAGTTTAGCAAGTGCCATTTAATGTTTGGCAAAAATGAAACCTCATTTTTTTCCCCCTAGACACATACTTTCTGGGAGATCATTCAAGGTCTTGATATGAAAAGATCTTTTGTCAGTTTTTCCCTTAGAAAATTTCAAGCCTATCTACTTACTTCTACAATTAAAACAAAGAATGACATGAATTCAGTAGGGTGTCCCCGTACCTTGCTGGGTGACCTCAGATGGGCTGATTTCAACCTCTGAACCTTCATTTTCCCATCTGCAAAGGCTGCTGTCCCTGTGGCTGGACAGGGACTGAAGAAAGGGCACAGACTTTTGCTACTGCACAGAATATGGCAGGAGCCCAGAGACCAGGCCAGAAACCTTTGGCCTGCTCAGACGCCCCTTTTGGGTTTTTGTTTGTTGTTTTTCACGTTCTTTTACCCTTCCCATTCAGGTTGCCCATTTTTTCTTCTATCTTGGCAGTCATTCACATGTTAGTGTAACACGATTTCTCTAGAAGGGATTTTCCATAGTAGTCCTGATCTTCCAATATTCACTTCTGAACCCCTTGTGCCAGGACCTGGGCTCGAATCTGGAATCAAAAGTGAAAAAACACCATCCTTATCTTCAAGCAGCTTCTCCTACTTTTCAGCCAACTGAGGATAGCAGAAATAAGGCCTTAGTGGTGGAGGGGTATGGCTGGGTACTACCTCTCAGGAAGGTAGAGTCTGAAGTGATGTTCCCTATTCTGGTCTTTTGTTGACTTTATAATCACCCTTCCTGTTGCCCTAGAGGTCTGAGGCTGTTTTAAGTACCTTCAGAACCTGAATCTCATTTAACACTGAAGAGCCTGGAGGGTATCTCTAGCTTGACCATAAGAACATAAAGCCTAGAGAGATTTATAACCTGGGTGCTTGGAAGCTTTCGGAACAGGGAAAGGGAATAGGAGGATCTAGGCAGAGAACAGAAATAGGAAAATTCAGAGGTGTCTTAGAGTCTGGTGCTTGGGGGACACCAATAAAATGTCTCCAGTCCAAGCCAAGTAGGTCACAATGTGGGGAAAGAAGATCAAGATCCTTGCCTCCAGGCCATTTCCCAGAGTTACACAGCCCCAACTCTTTCCTCTCCAATCCTGTTTTCCAATCCCACTTATAGTGTGGGCTGAGGGGGAGCTGTGCATTTATACAATCTGCTGTTCCCTTTGGAGTTTGAGATTATGACTTTGATAAATAGTGCTGCCAACCCAAAGGCAGGTGGTTCGAATCCACCAGCTGCTCCCAAGGAGAAAGAGGTACAATCTCCTCCTGGGCAGTTTATTGCCTCTGAAAATCCACTGAAAGGTCAGCTATAAATTGGATCCAATTTGATAGCACATAACATCTTTTAAAAGAAATTATCAGCTTCACGTGAACTATCAACTCTGCAGTATTTGCCACCTCTTTGGTGACAGCTTCCTTCCTTTATAGAGTTGAGGGGCCTAGTGGCAAGAAGCTGCACTGCAATCCCAGAGGTATGCGGTTTGAATCCACCAGATGCTCTGCTGGAGAAGATGGGGCAATCTCCTGTACCAGTCAGATCTGATTTGATGGTACACACACAAAAAATAATAACATTTAAAAAAAAAAGTAATAGAGTTGAACTTCTACATCTGAGTTTTTTCCTTTGGAAAATGAAAAGTAATTCACAGAAGTATCTGAGCAAAAGGGCCAGACACTGGGGCTCCTCCTAGAAAAAAATTAAGCTAAAGCAAAATCTTAAAGGGAGGAAAGGATTAGAATGATGGGGTAGGGTAGGAGGTGAGAGCAGAAAGGAGAGGAGCAAGCAGGGAGGATCAAGTTGACCAGTCCAGAGTCATGCTTGACTAAAAAATTCTATTGTGGGGAATTTTGGGGGGTGGAGAGGATGATGTCAAATTGGATCTAGGCTTGTGAATGAGATGGAGTCACTGAAGGCTGGCCAGGACAGTTCACAATGTTGGCTCCTCCTGGAGGTGTTAGAGGCTGGAAGCATCTTGAAAAACAGGAAAAAATGAAGCACACCTCATAGATTAACTGACAATTCTCAATTCCTATAAGGCGCAGTTTCCAACACATTAAAAAACATTTTGTCTGAAACAAGTGTTGAAAAGGAGATTAGGAGGAAAATTAGTAAGTGCTTGGTACTAGCATTCAGTGCTCAGTTTCTTCAAATGTGAAGTAGCGGTTGTGTACCTTAGAATCAAACGGTCCTATAGCTGGTTCTCCATTGGAATTTCAGCGGTAGTAAATTATATTGGAGGAGATTGCTCATCTTTCCCCCCCAGACCAGTTTGTGGATTCAAACAGCTTGCCTTTTGAATTGCAGCGCAGCTTCTTACCACTAGGCCACCAGAATGGTACCAGCCCTATTTAGCAAGTGCAATATTAAGGCTCAGAGTGGCTGTGTCCTTGGTTCGAGACTGCTAAGCCAGTTCTTCCCACTCCAAGCTGCCGCATGCTACTTCCAACTTAAAACTCACGTGCTGCAGCTTCGCTTGGTAGGGAAAGCCAGAGCACGACACAGCTGCCAACCCTCGGACAGTACTGGGGTCCTGGAGGCCTCTCGCTCTTCTGGCCAATGGCATCCTAAAGCCCAAGTTTGAATTCCAGGTAGAGGAGTTTGGAAAGGGATCCAGTCCTTAAGCATCTACGATGGGTTTGTGGCTCTGGTGTTACAAGCGAGGTACGAGCTGGGTGGGCTGTCGCTTTCTCCAAGGTGGAGGGAAAGTAGCGGCTAGTGTCAGCCGCACACTGCACGTTTTCAAAAGCAAAAGGCAAACGAAGGGGCGGACGCGAACCCGTATCGGGGGTGGGGGAGGATGGGAATCCCTACAGTCGGCCAGAGGTTCCCTGCTGCGGTCCCCTCCCCCCGCCCGGGACTCTGAATAAGAGGCGGGGAAATGGACCCAAAAGCTAGGGGGTCGGGGGAGACGCCACGAACCTCACCTTCTTGATCATTGGAGGCACTCTCCCTGGGCTAGTGTTTGGGTTCCAGTGACTCGTTTTCCCGCCAAGTTAGGCGGCTGGGATCAGGAATGGAGTTTAAGATCCCAACTCCCACCTTCAGAGCCCCGGCCAGAGCTGGGAAGTGACTTTCTCAAGATCACGGAGCGAAACAGGCCAGGTGTCTGCCCTCTTCACCTGGTCCCTAACAGCCCTGCGCTCGGGGACCGCAAGGCGCGGATAATTGGGAGACTAACTTGGCATGGGAGGTGTAAAAGGGATGCCCAGGTACCTCACTGTCCCAGCTCAAGATATAAACGGAGCTTCCCCTGGAAGCCGAAAACCCAGGAGCCTTGTTGCAAGGGTCTGGTGGGACGCGCACGCTGACAAGCAGCAGGGCGTGGGGCTCAGGCACCTGGCTCCACCTCCCGTGGGCTGCAACGGCGCAAGTCGCGCGGGCCCTTTAAGAAAGTTCCCTGGGAGAGTTCATCAAAGTTTAAAAAGTAGTAGTGGAGACGCGAACCGGGCAGGAAAAGTCCGGTAGAGAAGACCAGACCGAGAGGAAAAAAGCTTCGCCCCGGGCCAGCGCAACGCAGCCCGGTCCGGGGCGAGCCCGCAGTGGGCGGCGGGGATTGGCTGCGCGTTCCCCCGGAGACTGCGAGGGGGGCGGGGAAGGGGCCTGGAAGGGCCCCAGC